GCCTGACAAATTGTTGACCCCCCAACCCAACCCGATGGAACCTCCAGACCCCCAGCTTCCGTTCACCGCCTTGTGGCGTTCCACAGCACCTTCCTGTTTGCCCTTGATGATCTCGCCGGTTGCTTGGACGATAGTGACACCCAACAGATTCAGCTGCAGCAGGTGAACCAGTTGGCCTCCGCTCATCCTTGAGCACCAGCATTTTGTTTAGACAATCCATCTTATTCAGTGTGAAGTGACTTGACTTGGCCCTGCACGTGGCACTCTGCCACCCCACTTTCATGTCAACCAATGTGCAGAGCTTGGTGTCCGATGCAAAGCTTTTATCTCCCAACCGTACCTGTTGGCGCATGCATTTCGTGGCCTACCCCCAGCCGTTTGAGCTGGATGGTGCACTCTCGTGGATGCCCATGTGAAAAAGAAAGGTGCGTTTCAGCAGTTCTTCATGTCAAGCCGCTTTCAGTTCACATGTGAACGCTGTGTCGATTTAATCGCTGTGCTTTCTTGTGATTTGAATGCCGTGTCGCTGGGTTTGTGTTCGTAACTAAAGACTGACCTGGGTCTTCATTTAAGTTCTTTGGATTGAGTTGGGAATCTCAAAGCACACCATTTGGCAAGACATAGGTATCTTGCCTTTCCACCTTTCCCAAGAATAAGCGTAGATGCCATCGAGCTTCTCCTTTGTTGAGACTTTTGATGTCTCCATATTCTGCTAGAAGTCCTTTGTAACTCTTGCCATAGACAATTTCATATGGAGTGGCGCCTTTGACTGGTTGAAATCGATTCAACACCCAAAAGGCATGTCTTGCTGCCCAAGCCCAAAGCGCATGATCTGATCCTATCTTGATGCCAAGTCTCGACTGCAAGCCTTACTGCAAGCTTCCTCACCCTGTCAACTGTGTTTTCTGACAGAAGAGAACGATCTCCCAATTTTGAGGCGTTCAATCTTGTAGTAAGTCCTAGACTATGACGAGCATTGCTCAGAAACTGGAGAATCTCTCTTGTTGCGTGTTCATTGTCACTTCTGTGGGTGGATTGCCAAACACCCCAGCAACTGTTTGAAATTCATCAGGTCTTGCGCAATGAAACGAATTTGATTCTTGCTTCCTGCGCAACATGGATGAACCCAGGCTGTGAATTGCAACTCGCCAACATACTGTTCTTCTTAACTTGGTTGCTGCATCTCTTGCTCTGGTATAGCAACGGTCAAAGCTCACCTCAGGGATGCTTCCTCTCTTGGTTCCATCTTTTCTGTTCTCTCATGGTGCTCGCCGCTCAATGCACTCCTTTACACCAACTAAATAATTAGCATAGGGTAGACGCGTCAATCTGCGCCTTGCCTGAGTGGCTTCATCTGGCATCTTAGCCACACTTTGTCCTAGTGCTTCTCTTGTCTCTTGAGCTTGTGCTTCACTTACCAAGCTTTTGGCGTTCAAAAGTTCCATTCTCTTATTGTGATTGAGGATCTTTGTGTGGACCTTCAACTTAGAGCCGCTACCTGACATGCCGACAAATGAACACGCTGCCCTCAAAGTTGCTAAAGTAGAATCCTTAATCAACTCTACGTTCGCCAAGACCCTGTCTACATCCATGCGGCTCAATTGTAGCTCACTCAAGGTCTTCTTCCTTCTTATCTTCTTCTCTTGCCTTCCGACCTCCATCTCCGGTGTAGTAGGGGTAATCTCCTCGATTGCCTTCTCTCTTCTCTATTTTCAAGCTTCTCGTACCCTGGTGCAAAGAATCCCATATCTTCTGGCGTCGCTGGCTCATAGCTGAAGATTGTGACAGGAGAACAGTTCAAAACTTTTCCAAATACTTGGCAACCTACAAAGGCTTCAATGCGTATTCATCGGAGTATCAGACAAACCTTGGAGGTAGGATCGTTGCCGCAAAGGGAAGAGCAGAAGCTTTGCCAGTAGCGCAGGCAGATATTCCCCGAGAGCATGTGATGTTGAAGTTCAAGGATGAAGATGCAGAAGCAGTCATGGCAAAAGCTCTTCTAGAAAGCCAAGTGGAGACCAAATAAGAATCAAAAAGTTCTCTTTGCAGTGAGAAGACACTTGAGAAGGTGAAAGCATTCCCACCTACATCATTGCCAGCAGGCCAGCCCAATCCGGTTGTATTGAGGCCAGTTACTCCTATACTATCTTTATTGACCATCATCAGCGCCTTCAAGGCCAAGAGAAGCATGTGACTTGCTTGAAGAAGGAAGCCCTATGAAGAAACTCAAACCATCAGAGGAGTGAAGCAAGAAGTTCAAGATCAATTTGGTAAAAGTGGCAGGAGAAGACCTCTGTCTTGCAGATGAAGAGCTCTCACCAGTTGCAGAAGAAGTTGATGAAGAGGACTGGGAAGGAGGAGAAGAAGAAAGCGAAGGGGATAAACTAAATGGACCTGAATGCTTGTGGCGCGATGGAGAGCATGAACCAGAAGAAGATCCAGAAGATTGGATAGATCGAGTAGCTGCTGAAGTTGAAGAGAAAAGACTCCAGAAGATTCAAGTACTAGAGGGAGAGAGAGAGAGAGAGACCAGAAGATAGCGCAGAAGGTATCAGTTAACTGACTACACGCAATGTGTATGACTGGAGAAAGACACCTTATCACCATGGAGATGGAACAACGAGCTAGAGGTGGAAGAGAAGATCGAGACTAGTTGCAAGAGAATCTGCTTTCGCGGAAGGAAAGAGGGATGACATTTTCTAACCAGCGACTTCAGGTCATGTACTGAAACTTCTACCCAGAATCTTCTTGCAGAGAGTCAGTGAGGAGGAAGAAGCAAGAGAGGGAGAAGGAGCATTTTCTCAGATATTAGGTTGTCTAGCTGTGAAAGACGCTTTCTTGCAAATTCCACGGGAGAAACCTTTGAAAATGAATTTGAGAGGAGAAGAGTTCTTGGTGAAAAGGAACATACCTGGACAGAGAGTCGGAGCAAAAGCATGCTTCGACTTCTCTACAGAGTACTTCGCCGAGGAACTCAGTTACAAGTTCAGTGCTGAGTGTCCACGCCCGGGAAGAAATGAGTAGAGTATCCTTTTGATTCATGTGGATGACTTGATTTTCACAGGTTGACCAAAGTACATCAATGAAATCTTTCTTCTAAAGGTTCAAAACAGGTTTGACACCAGTGTGGGCAAAATTGAGAGGATCGGTGACGAGCTCAGTTTTGTGAGGGTCAATTACAAGTTAGAAGTCGATGGACTATGGATTCAACCAGGTAACTACATCCAGCAGATGTTGAAAGCCTATGAGAAAAATTGGCAAGACCAAACTCCAACAACTTCCGTCAGACAACTCAATCCAGATGGAAGACAAGTCAGAGATCTTGAAGAATCCAGAGAAGATTGGGGCCTATTCAGAGCCATTGTTGGTTCAGGAACCTATCTTTGTCATGAGAGATATGATGTAGCATTTACTGTCAAGGAGTTGGCTTCAAGAATGACAAACCCAACAACTATGTCTTTTCATCATTTGAAGAAGTTCTTAGGCTACTTGAAGAAGACTGTGGGCTTTTTATTGTCTAGTAGTTGGTTTTCCACAAGGGGGTTGAGACATTCTCAGATTCAGACTGGAGGAAACAAGAGCCATAGAACGTCAATATCAGGAGGGTTTCATGCATTGAGCAGTTGTCCATTGTTCAATAGCAGCAGTGCGCAGAAGATCGTTAGCTTATCTTCGTGTGAAGAAGAGTTGCGCGCAATAGTGTCCTCAGCATCAGATGGTATCTACATTCTCTCAGTTCTCGAATTTGCGTTTGGGACAAAGGTGGACCGTTACATCTTCACAGATTTTTCAAGTCCGCGCCAGCTTGTGATGAAGAGAGGAGTTGGAAAAGTGAGACATCTGGATGGAAAGTGTGGATTCAGAACAGAAAAGATTTCAATATGGTACAAGTACCAACAGACAGCAACATGGCAGACATCAGGACCAAACCACTTGGATTTTTTGGGGTTATTGGCGCAATGAATAGCAATGAAGAGTTGGTGAGGTTGAGAGAAGGGAGTATGAAGAGAAAAGACCTTTGCAAGCAAGGTCAACAAAATTGCCAAGATGATTGTCAGGATTGTGACGGTGGAGGTTGTTGGAAGTGGAAGATTCCAATAGAAACTGGGAAATTGCAATCATCGCGGCCATTATCATCGGTTTTGCAGCGACTATGAAGCACTAATTTCCCTCTGCAACAGAGTGGATGAAGCAGGACTCAGGATGGTGGAAATTGAGTACATGATTGTTCAGAAAGACGAAGATCAGCGCAGGGTAGACAATCTTATAGGCTATGCCAGGAGAATTCATCGTGGATTGATTCCCAACGCGGCCAGAAGGAACCCGGAAGACATGAGATCAACCAGAGGAGAACATCATTGTCATCCTGTGATGCAAGGAGGACACCCCATGGAAGGACCAGGTAAAATATGAAACAGAACGACTTCAACGAAGGGTTGAGCAGTAGAGAGAAAGACAACGGGTACTACTAGGAAGAGGATAAGATGATCTAGCAGACACGCCTGCCTATGAGAAAGGTCGATATGAAAGGATGCTAGCGTTTTGTGAAAGCTAGAGGAGATAACCCAGAAAACACAGCAGCTGATACGTCGAAAAACCCCGCTCCTTAGAGGAGAGAGAAACTCAACAGAACTATGATGGAAGTAGAGTGGACTATGGCGGCAGAGTGAGCTAAAATGGCTGATGTGCGCTCACACTACCGGGAAGGAGTGTGAAGAACTTGAAGGTAGATCATAAGTAACCTTGCGCAGAATATCTTGTACGTTTGACCTGATTGCAGCCCCTTTGAGAGATCAGAAAAGTTCGCAATTTTAAGTATAGCGGGCTGAAAAGATTTCATTGTGTCGTTTTAAGCATCGAAGCCAGCTTAACGTGTCAGGATTGGAGGCGTTGTCTCCCTTTTGACCTTACGCAAGGTCGTATAGAGACCATGCGCGTTGCTTCATTTGCATCGGAGTTGGGGCCAGTCAAGACATGTCAAGGCGCTCAGATTTTGCCAGGCTTTGGTCTTCCTTTCTATCCTCGGAGAAGGCCCAGTAAGATGAAGAGGTTGCGAGACAAAGTGCTGGCGGAGTTGGCTGAGAGGTTGCGAAGCAACAACTTTGCAGCCTGGCGCGAAAACACTGCAAGCTAGTTCGCAAGCAAGTTCCTCAAGTCATGTTTTCAAACAAATGATCGTTATTGTTGTTTGAGCCAAGGAATTTGTTGCGCAACGTGGCTTGTTTGCTTTGGCCAGGGTTTGCGATGCTCGCCATACTTGCGCCGATGCCTCTATAAATTTATTAAGGCTTACGCCTGACAGCTGGGCGCCGGCCCAACACAGGGCAAAAGTAGGACGGTAGAGGGGATAGAGGCGAAAGACATGAGGCGACGGCGGCTGGGCGTCATTGCTCTCTTTCTTTCTTTCTTTCTTTCTTTCTTTCTGTCTGTCTGTCTGTCTGTCTGTCTGTGTGTCTGTGTGTCTGTGTGTCTGTGTGTCTGTGTGTGTGTGTGTGTCTGTGTGTGTGTCTGTGTGTGTGTGTCTGTGTGTCTGTGTGTCTGTGTGTCTGTGTGTCTGTCGGTCTTCGGTCTGTCGGTCTGTCGGTCTGTCGGTCGGTCCGTCCGTCCGTCCGTCCGTCCGTCTGTCCGTCCGTCTGTCCGTCTGTCCGTCCGTCTGTCCTTTCTCTCTGTCTGTCTCTGGCTCTGGCTGGCGTCCCTTGCCCTTCTTGCTCTTACTCTTTTCTGCCTCTGCCTCTCTCTCTCTCTCTCTCTCTCTGGGATCGTTATTGCATTTCTCCCTCTTCGCCGCGTCCCCTTTCAGGATGCGCAATAAACCCTGTAAAACAAAGTGTTTTGTGTACCTCAGCCGTTGCTGTTGGAGCGTCCCCGACACCCAGGAAATGTCGATTATGCCTGTCCGCGCGGCGCGCATTACCGACATCAGCCTTGAAAAACATATCATTCTTGCATTTCTCCCTCTTCGCCGCGTCGCGCTTCAGTATGCGCAACAAACACTGTAAAACACAATGTTTTTTGTACCTCACACACACACGAAACACTGTAAATTACATGGTGGGAGGTGAACCGGGGGTTGTTCGGAGGTGGTCGGCGGCGGGGGGTGCCGTTCCCTTAAAACTTTGCCCTCCGGGCGCAACACGGGCTCCCAGGGCCAGCGCCCGGATTTAAAGGCTTACGCCTAACGGCCGGGCGCCGGCCCACTAGGGTCTGTGTAGGGCTGGGTCGGGTTGGGGTTCAGCAAAGCTTTCAAATTGGCATCCCTAGCACACAGCTAGTTGGCTTCAAGCTTGTGATGTTGGTCCTGAAGCTCTGGTTCTGGGGTGTCACAGCCTTGCAACACTGCTTTTGAGGAAACAAGTTGCGTGGGAGGAGCTGACTGTGAGGTATCGCTCTTTGCCATTCACATCTGGAACGTACTTGCTGGAGGCCACATGCTTCTTTGTAAACTGGACTTGCTCATACCTCTTCTCTCCCAAAATCCTTTCTCTCCCCTCGTCGGAACCGAAAAAAAAGAACCAGCAGAAGCGGACCCAAGCTTGGTCGAAAAGAGCCCCCAAGATATTTTCTCTTTCGCGCTCCCCGGGGTCGGCGGACATACCTCATAATCCTCATGCATTAAGCTCCATTATGCCAATCCTCTGCCACTAGCCATGTTTCTTGAAGCTTCAAACAAAAATCACTGACAGGGACCGATTCCTTCTTCAAATCTCTTGCTATTGCGCACTCATTTGACCTTTAAGTTTCAACAGAAAGGAAACCCTGTTCTGACAAATTGAAGCACCAAGCCAGCGTGCGCGGGTTTTCAAGGTATCCGCTATCCCCATCACCTCAAGGTACTTGACTAGATGGAAATAGGACTATCGGACTCCGAGGCGGACCAAAGAAACGAATCCCCAAGGGGCATCTGTTCTGAGCTGGTAAATCTCGCCTTAGGCGAAGCTGCCGCAGCTGCAGCGGCGACCGAGACAGCTGCAGCAAACTTCGCAGATCTCACGGTCTTCAGCGCGGAAGATGCTCAGAGAGTATAGTATTACCAGAAACTTATCGTTTGGTGTTTGTATTTGAGATCAGGAGAATTGATTACTATAGGTGTCCTGGCACGAGCCTGAATTTTCCAGCTTCTCCTTTCGCGCTACGGAGTGGACATTCTGCTTTTTGAGGGTGCAGAGTGCAGACCCACCCAACAACGGCATGTTTTTGCCACCGGGTCCGAAACCGAACATGTAGTCGTGCTATTTTTTACAATATTTCGACCCGGTGGCCATAGATGTCAATGTCATGTAGAGACCATGATGATGAGTTGTTGATGTGACGACAGAAGATTCTATGGGAGGTTTGGGGGGCTGGGGGGTGGGGGTTGGGGGAAAATGTAAAACAGTTGATTGAGTGAAGTTTTCTAAACTAATATCATAGCAGTATACCAAACAAAAAAATCTGTTTATGAAAACATAACAGTCCAAAAAGTAAGTTTAAATATTGTTGATGGCTTCTTTTTCTCAACAATATCAACACATAATTACCTCATTCAATTTTCCAAAATCATAGCAGTCAAAGCATACTTACCTCATTCATTTTTCAAAATCACAGCAGTCAAAACACAATTACCTCATTCAATTTTTCAAAATCATAACAGTCAAAGCATACTTACCTCATTCATTTTTCAAAACCATAGCTGTCAAAAGCATTATTACCTTTTTCATTTTACAAAATCCTATCCATCAACCGTTCCAAAATTCCTTTTATGCTACTTCTCTGTTTTTAAATGTCTTGAATAACATTGTGCCTTCATTGATGAATTACATACATTAACAAAGGCAACTTTATCACGATAGTTTTGTTTCTTGTTCCTGCTTCTTCTTTTCTACATTCTTCATGTTCTTTATATTTAGTTCTTCCTGTTTCATTCACTGTATCTTTATGTTTGTCATAGTTCTTTCTCTTGTATTCCAAGCATTTCTTCAATCCATCTTCAAAATTATCAATTGGTAAACCTTCAACACAGTATCTACAAAATTTACCCATTACATATGAATATGATTATCTTCTTAAATGTCTTTCCAAGAAATCCTATCACAACAGAAAACAAAAACAATATATAAGACAAAACGGCAGACAACAATAAAGATACACCCTGAACCTTTAATAATCCGATCTTACAAGTCCATAATTCTAATAATAGATATTATTAGAACATATTAGAAATATGTTAGTAGTCAATATCTTCAATAGTTATTCGTTCAAAATGAAACGCTTGTATTCTTATTATACTATCTTTATCTTGGTCTTCTTCTGTGTTGGTATTTATTTCTTCATCTGCTTTATTCAACGCATCCTCTATATTATCTTCATCTACATATTCATCAAAGTCATTCATGAAGTAAACTTCTCTATAACTAAATTCATTGTCTCCATATTCTTTATCTGACAGGTTTGCTACTATTTTGAGAAAACTTCCGATATTCCGGAACATTTGAGAGCATAGATTTGCCTTTCGTAGATTTGTATAGAATATCTGACGCAACATAGATGAGCCAGAATGGCATCTACGGTCAAGTTCTGCGAAGCCAGAACTCTTGTAATTCATTTGCACTCTTTTGCTCACGCAAGCTTTTGTACTTTAGCGATCGTAAGCTTCGACGCGAAGAAAATTTGTGTCTGTTTTGTATCTGTAGTGTCCTAGGTTCCCCTAGGTGTGTCTACGCTATACGTCGTAGATAGTTCTTGTATATATCTCTTCAGTCAGCTTTCGCTGTATTTCATTTGGCTCAAGACTTTGAAGCCCACCTAGAGGCTCCAATGGTGTCCTTTGCGCGCCGTTTTGGCTTCCCGTGTCGTTTAGCTTTATATGTTGATATTGTTGTTAGAACTTTTTGATTGGCTTTGCTGGGCAGTGCCTGCAACTAGCGCTCTCAACCCCAGCGCTTGCATGCAGTGATGTACCGCAATCCAGCAGTTGTGAGAAAATGATGAGGCAAAGTGTCCCCAGAACTGGAAAGGTATCTGCGTTGTTGGGTGGGGGTTGCTCGAAGTTCTGCGTTGTTGGGTGGGGATTGCTCGAAGTTCACCGTGATAATTTTAAAGTGTTCTGTTGTGAGGGAAACACGGTGCAGCAACACTTTTCGTCACATGTGGGAAAAGCATTTTTTCAAAGAGTTTTTGCAGTTCAGATGTCAGAAGCGTTGCGTTGCCTTGACTTGTGGCGCTCGCCCGCCTTCCTTTGCGCAATATGCGCCATTCAAGAGATGGGAGGGCGCTTGGAAAACACATGTGATCACATGTGCTTTGTGATTCTCAACCCAGCTGTTCCCACGGATGACTTTTTGGAAACATGTTTTTTCCAGGGTGAGATGGCCACTGGAGCGGCAAACCTGCAATCATGTTTTGTGCACATAGCCACGCGCGGGGGAGCGCTTCGGCTATGGTGGATGATAGTGCCCAAAGAGCGCTGGTGGATGGTGCTCCGTCGTGTCGTGGGCGTGAGGTGGAAACCCGGGAGTGTCTGAATCAGAGTTGACGTGGGAGATCATAGGAGTTTTTGAATGTGGGAACCCAGAGAGGTGTGACAATATGTGCGCCTTTTTGTGAGACCGGCTCGCAAATTTTGAAGCAAACCCGCTCTCTTAAAGCGCGATGACCTTGGACTTGACCTCGTCATGCCACGACAAGTACGCTTTGTTGCCCTCTGGCTGGCGCTCCTGCCGTCGTTTGGCCTGCTCTAGGTGCAAGTGTTCTTTTTTGTTTTTGAACAACCATCGAAAGCGCGCATCAACCCAATCCACCGTTCATCTCAGGCCCAGGGAGGGTGACGTGGACTGAGCAGGACGTTGTCACTTTTCTCAATTTCATCTTTTTTACCGGAAAGAGGCGCCCGTTCAGGGGTGGGTGGAAATGAGTGAAGATGGTCAGTGATTCACCCATATATATATAGATGCTCATACATGTTCATAGATTGTCATGGACGTTCTGTGAAGTTTTGCCTGCAACTCAGGTGGATCTGGCAAAGGTGGTTCGTGCCAACATGACAGTGCAGGTGGTCGCTGTCATTACAGCAGAGGACTGGGAGGGGTCCAAGCTGGTCCAGCTGCAGGATGAAAACCAGAGGCCAACATCGGCCGATCTCAACAAGAACTTGATGTGGCTGAAGCCCCTGTGCCAGAAGTTCCCTGATCGCGCCCCTCGAAAGAATTTTGTGAAATTTGGTTGTTTCTTTATTTATTCATGAACTTGAGAGTCACTCCGATCCTCACCCAACATCATCTCCCCAGCTAGCAGGTGCCATCGGGGTATCTGCTCACGGACATGTTCCTGCAGCTTGATGTCCTTTTGGGCGGCAAGCTCTTCAGACAGGGTCGAGGTGACAAGATGGACCAAGCGGCCAAGGAAGCTGTTCGCTGCAAGAAGTGCCTCGGGAGTTTGAGGTACCTTTGGCGGTCCGCCAAGACATCGTCGCACCATGCAGCTGTCGCTGAGATGAAGCAGGTGCTGGTGGAAAGCCCGAACCAGGCTGCCAGGAAGTCTTCTCGGGCTGATGGATCTGAGGTAGGTTCGGACGACGAGCGTTTCTGTGACAGTGGATCTGAGGGAGGTGGCGAGCCAGAACCGCTTGGGGACGTTGAGGACAGTCAAGCTGACTGCGCTGCGGGGGCTGCCGCGGCGGAGGTTGAGGTCTTGCAGAGTCAGGAGTCAGAGCAGTGTGAGAGTGATACTCGTTTGAAGTTTGCGCCAATTCTTCTTGTCCTGTTTCCTAGTTCTTTTGGTACCCCTCCTCGCATTGAGCCACAAAGCATGGCTAGACTGGCTGACTGAATTTCTCTGAGGAGACTTCGTCGGGCGCGAGAACCTTACGCTTGGGCGTGGACACGGAGCCCATGCCAGCGTATGGCACGACTGAGAGGGCGCAGCTGACGGAGGTGTGGCTGGAGGAAATCCAGGAGGCCTTCAGCCGCGATGGCAAGCCCTTTGAGCACCTTGGAATTGGAACAATTTCCTTTGGCAGCCATGGAGGGCTGTGCTGTTAAAGGTGTATGCATGTGTGATTGGTCATGTGGCAGTGAGAAAGCAAGCACGGGCTCCGCTACCATGAGCTCCGTTACCATATATTTAGACCGACAGCACAAATCGAGAAGTGTGCGGCCCATCTTTGCAAGGTCCTGTATGGGGATTGGGCTTTCTCCACCCTCGCTACCCGATCTCACTTCCATGATTGGATCTTTGACCAGAAGTCTGAAGAGGACTGTGCAATCGTTCAGCCAAGCAATTCTCACAACCAAGAAGGTGTAATAACGAACACCTTTCTATAGACTTTTATTTGCAAAAAGATCTCATCCCAGAATTGCATTGTGTTTCTTTGCGCACGTTGCGAGACAAGTGTTTTTTCCATCCAAGCGAAAGGATGACTCTGATCGCGGCCATGCATCTACGCCCATGACCACTGAGGCCGGCCCGCTTTCGAGTTAGTCATTTCTCAAGAAGACTTCAATCAAAGTGTTGCGAACCGTCTGAAGTGTTTGAGTGGAGCTTTGTTCATCTCATATCAGTCTGCATGATCTTGGATGGGTTCACAGTCTTCCAAAACACAGACCTCAAACTTCCAACAAGATTGTCCTCTTTCTCATCTACTTAAATTTAGAAGACATGAACCCCTCATCCTCGCATCGCAGGACCGGGCGATCAAATCCATGGGCCTGGAGAGCGTGGACGAAGATTGGCATCGAACGCCGGCTGCCAAGCGACCGCGGCTTGCGCAGGCTGTGGAGGAGGCAATCAAGCTGACGCCCCCGCCAGTAGTGGGATCTACAACTGAAGCTTGTTGAATATATCTTTTGTTTCAGTAAGATGTCAACACACACATACCCAGTATATATTTCTTCAATTGTTATCGATTGGTCAGGAGGCAACCACACTTGACCAAGTATATTATGTGTTTTAGGATTTGTTTGATTGGGAGGCCTTCAGCCAACGATTCTGAATATATGTGGGGTATCCTAGGCCAAGCGGATGGCTCAGCAAA